GTTTAAGAGCTCACTGGGGAAATAGGTGCTTTTTTGTGTAGCGTAAAGCTTGCATGAGACGATGACGAGAATTTGGGTTGGCAGGATTGGTTTGCGTGGTTTTTGCTGTTGTATGTGAATTCTGGGATGACTCTTGCCTCGTGATTTTTTTTTTCGCGTTTTAAGTCTTGTTAGAAATATTCTTTAGACTGCGGAAGTTTATTTGATGCTTTCAGCTGCTGCCCGCCGTGAGGAAATTCAAAAAAAGATCGAGTTGCTCCGTCAGGAGCGGGAAAGAGAGAAGCAAGCCTTTGATGAACTTGCTTTGAGGGATGATGGTATGACACCCTCACAGATAGCTGAAGCTGCACGAAGGAAGGCAATGGAGGAGGTGCCGACGAGTCTACAAGTTGGCGGCACAACCATTTCTGTTGGGGATTATGTAGAAACAATTGATGATCCACATGCTCTCCTTGTGGCAGAAAACGGGATTTTTGTTCCTGATCCAGTGAAACAGGTGTATTTGGGGGAGAGAGGTAAGGTAACCTGCATCCTGCCCTCGTTTCAGGAGAAATCGGCTGTAGAAATTGTTTTTGCCGATGGCGCCTCAAAAGTATTTTTGACTGAATGTCTCTTACTGGGGAAAAAGTCAAGGCCGAAGAAAAGTTCTACACCAAAGGTGTCACACAAGGCGGTCTACTTTGACGCGGAAGATCTGCATGTACCAGAGTTTGTGCCACCAGCGAAGCCCGAACTTCTTCTACAACCTTCATGGAGCAACATTAATATACCTTCCCGCAAACCCAAAGCAATGCTGGAGAATTTGAAGCCATGTAACCCGCCAACCATTCCTACTGATACTACTACTACTACTACTACTACTACTCTTGATGTTACGAAGGCGACAACGACTTTGGTGCCATCGGTAGAGAGAAGGGACAGCAATGCAGGGGAAGAAAATTTCAGAGAGCAACCAAAGACGAATTTCTTATTTATTTCAAATGGGGCCCCGTCCGCGTCTTATGTGATGCGAATGGATTCTGAAACATTAGGTTCTCACGCAAAGACGGATCAAAGCATCGGTCTTGTGAAGGAAGTGCTTTCAGAGCGACAACGACGAAAAGTATCTGCAAGGGAAGGATTGGGAAGCCCAATAGATTTTGACGCTCCAGCTGCAGTGCCACTGATTGGTCGGGGTGAGCGGGACAATCTTCTCAAGACCCCTCGCGTAGATCCCATCACATACAAGCCTTCAAAAAAATGGAAAGGCTTCTTGGCAAACGGCAATAGTGACAGTGCAATACCGACAAGGTGCCCTGCAGGCTACAGAGCACGATTTTCCACGAGCGACAAAAATACAAAGATTCCGAGAGTTGACGGCAAACAGTGTATGGTGGCAGGCGCGCTTCCACAGCAAAAAAAATTGAAGTTTAATTTGGTTGTCTTCCCAAAAGGCATGAACAAACTGGAGCCGGTGCTTTCGATGTTAACGGATAAGCTGAACTGGAGACCCCTGGGCCAAACGGCGAAACGACTGTTTACCAGAGAAGGAGTAGAGATTATGAAATTTGATGCCATTCGGAACGGGATGTCTTTTTTGGTGACGCCCGGCCATGCTTACACTCCTGAACCCGTAGCAAAAACCAAAGTGAACAACACGACGCCAACAACGGCACTAAAAGCAACGGGAACCCTTGCAGTTGGAAGACATTCTCGACCCACTTCAGCCCCAACCGCGGCAGACGCCCTTGTGGTTCATAATATAAATTTGGAGCCTCAACAAGCACCTGTGAAGGCAACAAATTATTTGCCCTTGCCATCACAACTCCCAAAATCATCTTACACCCTCAGCGCCCAGAAAGGTCGACAAAGAGCTTCAGGAAAAGGCATTGCAAAGCCTATTTCTGTGCGGGTCTTTTCAAACGGGGAGTATGGTGATTGCCATTATGATCCTTTTCCATTCCGTACGGTAACTCTTCGCCCTATTCACAAGACGATACGGGCAGTTGTAAACACAATTGAACGTGAGCTGGAGTGGAACTCTCTGGGAAAGAAAGTAGAAACTTTGTATGATGCCACTGGTAGCGAGATCACGTCGATCGAGGAGCTGGTTGATGGGCAGTCCATTGTGGCATCGTCAGGTGATCGCTTTGTGATTCCCCACCCGAACAGTGTATTGCACCAGGATGTGATGAGGCTTTTGGGAAATTCTAATGTAACACCTATTTTTACTGGTGGTCACCCAAAAAAATTTTGAGCGGCTGGTGAAATTTGAAGAAATTCTTGGAAGAAGTCCGAAGGATTGTTTCTTCGTTTTTGTTGTTTTGTTTTTATTATTGCTTGTTTGTTTTGTGGGACGATTTTTTTTTGCTTTTTTTTTTTTTTTTTTTTTTTTGTGTGTGTGTGTGTATGTATGTGTCTGTATTGTTGGTGTTTGTGCTTGAAACACGGGTTTTATTCTTGTGCTAGGCGCTCTCTGCGCCTCTAGAGGTCTGGAAGGCTCTGAGGGACGAAATTCAAAGTAAAAGAATATATATATATATATATTTATATAAAGTTGAATATAAATATATTTGTTTCTCCCGTGTGCGATGAAATTAACTTCTTATTCATTATTTTTTTAGTGAAAGTTGACTTCTTTTTTGGTTGATTGGCGAAAGTTGTTTTGCTAATTTTTTTTTTTTCTTTTAATAGTCAGGGTTGGGGATGATGGAGTTGCTGTACGGGCCGACCAAGCCGCTTGAGGTTCCCCCGGCACAGCCACGTGACTTGGCGGAGTCCAGAAGGCTGTGCGAGACGATGACGACTGTGGTTGCTGACAGAGTGAGGGAGGCGATCGACCTTATTGAGTTGACTGCCCACCGTCTGGTGGAACAAATAACCGCAGAGCCGGAAGAGCGGTGGGTGCGAGCCTATCCGTTCGGTTCCTGCGGTTTGGGTGCCTCCGTTGCAGATAGCGATCTCGATATGTATGGTGAGTCATTTTCCAACCCCTCTCTAATCCCCTCACTTATTTTAACGCGTTCCACACCACACTTCCCTTCTCTTGTAAAGCTACCGCCTCTCTCGCCCTCTCTCTTTTTATTTATTTTCTATTTATCAGTGTTTGAACAACTTAAAAAAAAAAAAATCTGCTTTTCTTTCCTTTTTTTTTTTTTATATTCCGTGCCGGTCGTTTTCAATTAAAAACGCTCGCACTTTCTTGAATTTTTATTTTTTTTTTACACACCGTCCACTCCGTGTGCATCTCCAAATGCCGTGTTTTTTCCGGTAGTGTGCTGATTTGTCCTTTTAAGGTAACGGCGGAGGTGTTTTTTCGCGAGTTTCCTCCACTGCTGCAGCCTGTCGTGGGGAACGTGGTTTTGGTTCCTGCCAGGGTTCCTGTGGTGAAGTTCAGTTACAGTGGTACTTCGGTGGATGTCGTGTTTGTTTCAGCGGCTCTGGCCGCTCCCCCCACGACAGAGCAATTATTAGATGATTCTTTTCTTCTTCAGGTCGCCCGTGACACCCGTCACAGTGTAAATGGTTTACGCACGGTCTTGGAAGTAAAGCGGCGTCTACCGGTGGCGTATGACGTCTTCACGACGGTACTTAAGTCTGTGAAGTTGTGGGCTATGCGGCGAAAGGTCTATGGAAATCTTTATTGTTATCCAAGTGGCGTGGTTCTTGCCATCATGGTGGCTCGGATTTGTCAGGTCATGCCTGCGTCTCATCCCAACGTCCTTTTGCGCTTTTTTTTCTTGTTTTATACTCAATGGCTGAGCCGCCATGATCGTATTTCTCCAGTCTATATTACCACATCTTTAGAGTCTCGGGGTCGTATTCCAGGCCTTCCAGACTCCTGGGATCCGCGGCGTGACGCGTGTCGTGACGATTTGTTGCCTGTTATAAATCCCGCATACCCTTACGTCAACGACGCTCGCAACGTCGGTCGCTGTGGTTTGGAGGTGTTTTACGCGGAGTTAACATACGCTTATCGTCTCCTGTCCAATTTAGAGACGCCCCTAGAGACGATATGGGAGCCTTATCACATTTTGGATGATTATTCCACTTTTTTTGTGGTACATGTTACTTGCGAGGAAGAAAATGAAGAAAAATTGGAGGCGGTTCTTTCCGTATGGAGTTCCTACGTGCTGAGTAAACTTCGGATTTTACTTTATGCACTGGAGCGTATTGTGGACGCTCGTCCATATCCCCAAAAGCTGAATGATGTTCCACCAAGGTCTGTACCAAAACCCGGCCGTTTTCTTAAAGGTAGTTGTTTTATCGTAGGGATAAAAGAGAAAGTTGGTAGGCGCTTTCCACAGAAGAATATGTTTTTTGAGGCGTTTGATGAGCTAAGGTATACTGTGTTGGAGGAGTGCAATGCGACGAAGAGTGTGCGGGGATTTGAGCGTGACGAGCGCACCATGCACGAGCCATGGTTTGCGCTAGTGTCCGCTGCAGATCTTCTTCCTATTCTAAAGGCGTAAACCCTGCTGTTTCTTTCTTTCTTTCTTTCTTTTTCCCCTTCTTTCCCCTTTGCTTCTTTCAACGACTTCTTCCCGCATCATTGCCTACACTATGTTCTCTGGTGAAAGACGACATATTCATTGGCATTACTGCGCTCCATTGAGCTGGCACTGCCCTCGATTAGCGCGGATGTTGGATGCTAGGCAGTAGTAGGGATGGGGGGGCGAGGGGTCGCTATGGCCAGCGCCGTGCGTCAATAAAAGAAAAATAATAATGTGAAAAGAAAAAGGCGGGGTGGATAAAAAAGTTGCAACTTCATCAGGAAAAAGATTTTGCATTTGGTTTCCACCGCTTTTAATTACCTTCGACTCTGTTAATTGCAGAAATCCTTTTTTTTTTTTTTCTTTGATGTCGTGAACGCTCTCTTTTTCCCCCTTTTTTTTTTTTTTCTCTTTCTTTCTCTCCATCTAAATGTTCTTTTATTTTTATTTTTGCTGTTTTTGTTGTTTTTGTCTTTTCACGCAGCAGCGGATGGAAATGTCAGCGTTTGAGGATAATCCGTTTGCGGATGAGGAGGACGAGGAGACGACGTCTTACGTGGAAGCCACCAGCAGGAAAAGAGGGCGCGAAGAGACGGCCACAGAGGAGCCAAGGCGTGAAGGCTCATCCCAAGAAGGGGAAGACCCCCGCCAGCTGACTCTTGCGACAGGCAACATTCCCACCATGACTACTGTTGCTGCAAACGATTTGGATGTTGGTGGTGATGATGTTCAATTACAAAAGGAGTTGCTTGCGGAGATCAATGTAGATGCGTCAGGGTCGATAGTTCCTTCTGTGGAGGATCTACTCACGGGGTACGATGAGCGTAAAGAGGAGGATGAGTTCAATGCACTGGTTGTAAAGGCCGCAGGCTTGGAATCTGAGGTGAAACAGAAGGAAAAGCTCCGTAGTGAAGAGCTTGACCACATGTCACGGAGTAATCGGGAACTCCGTGAGGCCGTGGAGCAATTGAGAGGGAATTTCTTTCTTATAAATGAGGAGATTGATTCCTTCCGTAGGGCACAGAGTGCGGTTGTCGAGGAGTGCAATAAGAGCCATGGTGTAATGGAATTATTGGGAGATGCTCAGAGGAGCAACGGGGTTCTTGAACAGACAGTCACGGACATTACAGAGCGTCTTGTTGCAGAGGATAGTGAAGGAATCATTTCTGCTTCTCTTAGGGATCGTCTTTTCTCTTGTATCGTTGGTGCAACAAATGAACCATCAGATCTTGCTGCGTTTGATGCTGAGGCAGAAAAAAAACGTTTTATGCTCTGCGAGGAGGCAATGGAGAAGTTGCGCACCGGTGAGATGCCAAGTATGACTCTCCCAATTGTGGAGGCTTTGATGACCATGCTAAGGGAACTGGTGGTGCGATATGAAACATTGTACAAATCCACAAGGGCACTGCAAGATTGTGTGGCATTTAAGACGTCTTCTCTGCGTGAGTTGGCGCGGGAGTCGCTGGAGTGGTATGCCCGCTCCGCCAGTCGTGCTCTTGTTGGAAGTGATGGTGCATTACGAACCGTGCCTGCGGAGGCAAAAGAAGGGGCACTAGGCAATCAACACCTGGAGGCCACACTCCATCACTTGGAGTGTGTTTTGCATCAACTGCTTCGGGTTCCAAACGCCATAACGGTGTCTAAGCAACATGCACCTTCTGTTGCGGCGGCCTCTGCTTTTGTTTACTGCCAGGAGTTGGAGTCCCACACAGAGGCTCTTGGACAAGAGGTGCTCCGTTTGAGGAAGCTGCTTGCAACAGACACAACGACTCTGCAGCATATGAGTGAATCCCAGGCAACCCAAGAGCCAGGCGCATTAGAGACGAGCTTACCCCACGCACTTATGAAGAGTGAGTGGCTGATGGGAATGACAAATAAATTATTGGAAAGAATTGGCGCTGCAGGTGCTCTTTGGCGTTCATTAAAGGATCCCGGAAGGAAGAAAAATGCTCCAGCGGTGGACCTGCAGCTTGCTTTTTATCAGAAATATGTCGTTATGCAAGAAGCACTACTCCGTCTACTTTGTACTTTAAATAGTGTTCTGCAGGGTAAAGTCCACATTGTAAGCGTCATTCGTCAGGTGGCTTTGTGTGATGGCGATGACACGGCTTTCAGTGTATTGGCCGAGAAGATACTGCAGGAGTCTGAAAACGATATCGGTGATCTTCATGGAGAGTTGGAGCGCGTCTGCACGGAATCATTGCGGCAGTTTGAAGACGAGAGTTCTGAATTGCTTAATGAAGACGGGATGCGGGCTGAGCAGAGTAGGATTCGGCTAAAGGACGTTCGAAAGTTTTTTGCCCACACCGTTGAAACATTAGACCGTCTTGTATACGGCGCCACGCCTGCGTCAGGGCCTATTCAAGTGCCAATTACGGATACACCGCCGCTGAAACCTACAGAGACGAATGAAATGCCAATCGAACTGAGCTTTCTTCCTTCTGAGGCTAAATGTGAAGTTTTTGTGCAGCTGGCCTCCAAGTACCATGAGGAGGAGCTGCAGGAAGAGTTTTCTTCCCTTCAACGGCGAAATTCGGCGCTTGAAGAGCGTTTAAAATGGCTTTCAACGCAGCCATCTTCCAGCGCCGCCTTACAATTGCGTTCCGTACACAAGGCGATGGACGCTGTGAAGCAGAAGCTGGAGGGCTTTGCCGAGCAGGAAACGAAATGGACGGCACTGCAAGACGAGTTGACAACGATCCGAGGGGAAATTTCTGCCGTTCAGAGCGACACTGTCGAGATGCGAGATAAACTGAACGACCTCCGTGGGAAGCTGCACGCAAGATGTGATGTGGCCCGTTCATAGCGCGGCCATCCCGAGATGGCGAACGTGTGTGAGTTGTGTTGTTGCTCCACGCACATGAATCTTTTAGCCAAATATGTTTACGGAAACTCAAATTTACCCCTTTTTTTATTAAAATAATACAAATAAGTGTTTTTTTTTGTTGTTTTTGTTTATTGGTTCTGATGGTTCTCTCTTCTTATATATATATATGATGCTTCTTCTTTGTTTTTTTCCTAATACCATCACGGTCTAAAGTCTAGCAATGTGCCAAGTGGGCACGAAGGATTGGGTTTTCACCGATTCACAGAGCTGTTTTTTGGACCGGGACCTGCGGCTTCAGAAGTGTGTCTGCCCTATTTCCACCTGCGATGTCACGCCGCTGGGCAACGCGTGTCGGTTTACGTCGTTTTTCCTTGTGTTTTGTGGATTTCTGTTTGCCATTTGGCTGCTTGGAGTAGCGGCGTACGTTTACGTTTCGGGTCTTATTTGGGAGCGTCATAAGTCTCTCCTGCCGGAAAGGACTCACTTCATGCGTGGTGGCTACTACTTTGAGAAAATGTTTGGTGGAGATAAGAGGGATGCGGGTGTGCCAATTGACGACTCTCCAAAATAAATGAGTCGTTTATGATTTATATCAGTGACCACGCGCGGGGAACGCTCTTGCTTTGGCGTCATGAGGGAGTAAGAGAAGGTGATAAGCAGTAAGAGAAATTGAAATGCTTCAAACCAACCAGAGTGAAAAAGAAAGGAAAAAAAAAAAAGAGAGAGAGAAGGAGGGAGGGAGAGAGGAGTTTATGAAGGTGGCCATGTGCATCCGGTGCGCATGAATTATTGGGACGTCGATGCCCGCCAAGAAGAGCCGTACGATGTTCCATGACTTGCGAGTATACATAATATTATATATATATACATATATTTGTGTATGCCTAAGTGTGCGTCTTTGTGTTTGTGTTTTTTCTTTATTTACTCATTTTTTCTCTCTTGACATACTCCACGCAGAAGGTGTAAATATTATACAAATTACTTTTCGAAGAAGGAATGTCACGGGGTTCTTTTCGTTTGATTGCGGTGTCCTGTGCGGCTGTGTCTGTTTCTGCCGCCGCATTAATTTTTCGTCTGGTAAAGAACCGGGGGAGGCGCGAAGATCCATCCTTTGAGACTGTGCCAGTTTCCCAGTGGACTGTGCAGCAGGTGGCGCAGTGGCTGCGGTCGCGTGGTATATCAGAGGAAGCAGTGATGGCCTTCTGTAGGAACAATATAGATTCGTCGGTGCTTTTTCTCTTGGATGAGGGGGAGAACATCGCCAAGCTGGCACCAAAGATACGTGACCAGATTCTTATTCGGCGTGGCCTTCGAGAGCTGCGGGATCAAGAAACCTACGAGTCAGCCGGTGCACAGACTTCGTCCGCGTCAGAAACATGCACGAGGGAAGCTGAAGAAGATCGTGTTGCGGCCTTTTTAATGAAGCTAAACGCGATAACCAGCATGCTCACTTCAAACGAGTATGAGACTGCATCACCTACCATTCAGCGAAGGCAGCGACAGGAATGCATGGAGTGCAGTCAGGCATTGCTGGGCGAGGTGCAACATTTTGCACCAGGACTTCGGGTGCAACTAATACCTCTTGTGAGGAGGGTTGAGGGTCTCATAATCCCTCCCCCGACGCGTGTTACACCAGCGACAGCAGCAGAGCCCAGCGACTTGGAGACGCAGCTCATTACATTGCACGAAATGGTAGACGGATTTCTACGAGTACTGGACTCCACTGATACACATGTGATCTCTGACCCTCAAATAGCGTTGCTGCGAGAGAGAGTTGAGTCTCAGATAAGTCATGTTATGGAGGTTGCAAGTCGTCTACCACCGCAATATGGAGAGCCGCTTAGGAAAAAGTGTGAGTTGGTTTTGCAGAGGATTCAACATGGTTCCACGGCAGCGGCATCGGGAAGTGCGGTGGAGTCTACTCAGGCGGCCCCAGAACCACAAGCGACGTTGCTGGCACCCATGGTAAAGCGACTACGGGAGGTTTTCACATCTCTCAAGTCATCTGCATTGGTGAACATGGAACCTGCAGGGCGGTTGGCCCGCATTGCCGAAATGCTGAAGGATGTGCGGAATATCCAACAGGAGGCGGCCTCATCTGGGGATGCCCGTGCGGTCGAAGTTGTCAATCAAGTAGCTGGCAACGTCGTTATGGTGCTGGAGCAGATGGAGGCTCTTACTCGGGAAGAAATGGCGTCGATGCGTGCAAATGTTATTGAAGAAACCGACGAGGATCAGAGTGCCCAGGCGGAGCTTCCGCAGATTTTTACCTCTCTTCAAGCCATTATTAAAGTTCTCCACTCGGATAAATTGGCCCGTGCTCCCCACGAGGTAAAACAACAAATTTTATCTCGACTGCAGAAGGGTTTGCGGCCCTTACGTCAACAGATTGCAGGCCTCCCGTTAAACCAAGCCACAGCGTCTGTGGCCGAAATGATTGAAAAGAGCAATGAGCTTGTGGACTCACTTTTGGATCGTCAAGAAGGCCCACATGAAGGACTGGAGGCGAAACAAGAGAACGAGGAGGAGGAAGAGGAAGGAACTGCTCCGGAGGAAGCTGAAGGCAGCAGGGAAAGACCCCTATCTTCAAGGTTAAACCCGCCAGTTGTGGAGCGGCAAGGCAATGTACTAGACGAGGCGCTACTAGAACTGGAAAAAATGTTTGAATATATCAACTCGGATGAATATGAGCGGATGTCCCCTAAAAAGAAGAGTGATACGGCGCGGAGAAATTTAATTCATCTCATCAACATTGAGAACCGTTGCGCACAGTTTGATGGGTTTGACCAGCTGAGGGAGCTTATTGATCCCATGAAGGATATATTGCGGACTGGGATGAGGAAGAAGGAGGAGAGACCTACCCCAGGACCCACTCCCCTTTTTCTCAACATTTCCGCCCATCTACAGCAGATGAATACACTAATGAACTCGGATGGCTTTCAGAGAGCAGACCTGAACAAGAAAAAAAATGCCGCCAGGTCTATTATCCCGCAGTTGCAGAAAATCACATCCACCCTTTCACTGCTTCCACCCCACGAGCGGGCGGCAGTTGAAAGACTCTTGGCACCTGTCAATGAGACACTAAAAAGCATTGTCGCAAGAAATGAGAACAACTCGGAGAATTTGACTGACCCACAACGTGTGGTAGCAGAGGTAGAGGAGGTCTTGTCGACGTTGCAGTCCGAGGACTTTCGAACTGCTCCCGTACAGCAGCAGCAAAATATTGTTAGACAGTTGTTGCAGCGGGTGGAACGCCTGAAAGAGGGGTGCGCTCAACTGGGCAGGGCAGCGAACCCGCTTCTAACTATTCTCCATCGTCTCACGACACAGCTTCAGTCCTTTGGTCAGGTTGGAAGGTATGCAAATGCAGCGGCTGCTGCAGGGCTTGGTGAAACCGCGGATGTTGTTTCGAATGAAGTCGATGAAGCCGACGAAGGAAACAGCGATGATAATAATGATAACGCCGAGGAAGTGGAGGACGAAATGCCCGCGACCAATGGAGGGGGAAGAAGGGGTGAAATTGTAGAAGAGCGACGAAAACTTTTTAAAGCGGTGACGGACATTACTTCAGAGCTACGCAAGAGCAACAATAACAATATTATTCTTTCTGCAGAGGAGGCGCAACCTCTTCTTGGACTATTGGAGATGGTAGACTCTGTTGGATGCACCACGGCATACGAAAGAAGACTTCGGGATGAGTTTGAGAATCAGATACAGCGTGCCTCAGGAAATGGCGACGTCACGGGCGAGGCGGGAAGCGTGAACCTACAGAAACTTGTCCGCACATTTTCACTTTTGAAGGACAGACTCTCAGCGTCGCCTCCAGTTTTACCTACAGAAATGGTTTCCCTCATGACAACTGTGGAGGAGGCGCTTAGCGCCGCTGATGAACAGAATGTGCCATGGCGCCGCCTCCCTCAAGTGGTGAACCTGATTGGTGAAGTTCTCACCGCCATTCAACAACGACAGGCTGAGATGCGAGAGCAATTTTCTACCGGCGAGGAGGATGCACTTAATGAGACCGCACCGGATCCATGTGAAGACCCTCCTCAATCGGAGGAGCCAGTTGGAACTGGCGCAAATGTGACATCGCAACTACAGGGGGATACAGGAGACACGCCTAGCGATGCATTGGAGGGGCTTCAAAACCCTCAAACAGCTGCTCGGGATTCAACACGTTTGCCAGATGCCAATCTTCAGGCAGAAGAAGAAGTCGAAGGGAATGAAACCAGGATTGCCCGACTACTGTTGGAGATGTCCGAACAATTGCGAGATGGTTCAGTCCCAGATGAATTGCTTGATCGCTACTCCATGTTGTTGGATTTGGTTGGGTCTTCATACAGAGATCCTTCTCTTCTTGAGGCGGTTGAATCCATACGGGAACAGATACGTCTTCAGCGCATTTCAAATCGTGACACCAGCTCTGAGGAATACGACTCCTCTGAGGAAAACATGGAGAATGAGAAGGTTGAAGAGGGGGAAGTGTACAAATCAGAAGAGACGTCATCGAAACTAAGAGAGGATGCAGGACAAGAGAAAGTTTTTGGGGAGTCCAAAGAGTCTTCCATTCGAGAGGATACTTTGGCAACGCAATCTACTGAGTTGGAGCCGACTACAGACGATCAAGGAGGAGAAGACATCTCTAAAGATAATATGTCTAAGAGTTTTTTGAGTCAGCTTTCGAGGAATTGTGTTCCTGGCGGAGCGAGGAATGAACTTTTACTATTACCGCGAATCGAAAAACGGATATTTTCAGATGAGCAGCATTTTATTGAGAACACGACACTTTCTGATATTCAAAACGTAAGTAAAGTGATCCTTCATATTGAGAAA